GACATTATCCATAAGCTATATTAAGCTTTAAATTTTATTATAAAATCAGCTTAAATATTAATAATGACAAATTTATATCACAGTAACGTACGAAAATAATAATTTCTTCGAAAGTAAAGAGAAATGGAAATATAACTTTCATAATTTTATTAACGAAAATGTCAATTTCATATTATTTGGAAAATAATAGTACAAAAAATCCATCCTTTATAGTGATTAAACTTTAATTTAAATAAAATATAGAAGATAGATTAATTGTATAATGATTTATTTGAAGTCATATGAAAGTAGAATATCATGAAAGTAAGTCGCATAAATTTTTACTTTAACCATCTATAATGATTTGCGCGAAATGTGCCCTAATATCTACAAAATAAAATAAATCAAAGTAATTATTTAAATAATCATATTAATCCGAATAGTCACAGATATATTTTTCTTATATTTATTATTAAATGTTAATTTAATTTAGCATATCGTTCACTTATTGTAACTTTATTCTAATCAATTGAACCTTTGTATATTTAAACTTGTTGAATGATCATCAATAAATAAATTAAAATTAAGAACTGTATCCGTATACTTTAGTGTAAAAGTGATAGAATAGAGTAGTGACAGAAAAAAAGATAAAAATTATAGACAGAGAGAGAGAGAGAGAGAGAGAGAGAGAGAGAGAGAGAGAGATGCAGACAAGCAAACAGATAAAACTTTTTAGCTAGAAAATAATATTGATAATGGGTAACAGTAATATATTCTTCATTTTCAAAGATTTGTGGAGATGCGTATATGTGTGAGCGGTAGAGGGGTGTAGGGGAGGTGAGGGATCGAGGGTGGTGGGTGGTGGAGGGGGGGGGGGGTTGTGAACGAAAGACCGGAGTTCATCTGAGATTATAAAGATTATAAAGAGAGCTTGAGTCACTTGCCACCTAAGCTTACTACCTAAATATGCCTTTACCCACCTTGTGCCCCTTAATCACATAGCCCACGGTTGTAGGTCCATTTACCTACCTCCAGTCCCTTGTGAGAACTGACTTTACTTCTCCCCCTGCTTACGCGACTACAGCAAACTGTATTCCACTCGGATTAATTTCTGATTTACAGCTCTTAATCTAAGGAAATATTCCGTCGGACCTTCTCACGAAACAACTCTTGCCACTACTAATACTACTAACCGACTCCTAATGGCAATTAAATTTTTCTTCTTCTTCTTAGATATACAGATATATATTAAAATAATTAAAATTGCTTTTTAGTTTACAGCTTGAATGCATTGATTGTTAGCTTTATTATAATCACTATTTTTATGTAATTTATTTGAACTGATTGATTCCTTTAATCCCTTCACGCGTATCCAAAATGTGCAAAATACGATTATTTTCGATATCTTGACAGCATCAATTTGTTAAGTAACCTCATACCGCTGATCATAAATTCCATCAAACACAAATTTTTATCAAATTTTCATATTAGCATAGCTGGTAAGATTATAAAAATATTATCATACGTTATGGTCCCTTATTATATCGAGATATTTAGTGTCGTTTGTAATGAATTTAAGATTCTTAGTAAGAAGTTGCATACATATTGTGCTAGTAACAATAATTTAATTAAACGTTTACTTATGAATATTTTAAATCGTTACAAGCTGACGATGCTGCATAAATATTATTATTTTTCCTTTGCGCAATATCATATCGAATATGCAGAAATAACGTTAGAACTTTGTAATAAAAGCAAATATAATCATAAAATGTTACCCACTTGGATGGGGTATGCATAGACATCCTCTTAATTTGCAATGATTAATCAAAGACTTTACTTACTCTTACGTGTCATCTCTTATATATTTTAGATAAGAAGGTAAAGTATTATTAGCTCCGAACATAAAATAACAAATAAGATGAAAAACTTCAATGAAGATTTGTATTAATTATACTTTGGCAAGTATTATCTATCATTAGAAAATTTATATATTCAATATAGGAATTATATTAAATATATTCACTACGAACTAAATGAAAATTCCATGTTAGGGTATAAAATTACGTTTGAATGCCGATGTCGAACGAAAATCAAACCCAGTATTAGTAATCTGAAAAGTATAAGAAGATTATGTAAGGAGCTAATAATAATCATTAAAAATCCAAGGTATTAAAAATAAGAATAAAAAATGATATCAAGATAAAAGAGTTTTTAGATTTTTTGAAATTTCTATACCTACTAACTTCGCGAGCACGCGCATTCATAATTATTAATATTTTCTAGGATTTAATTTAACCCTTCCCTTCCTTCATCTAAAAATCTGAGAGTAGCTAGCGCTTTTATGGAAAGATTATAATCGTTTCCCAATAACGGAAAGCGAATGCTATTTTCCGAGTAATTTTATCACACGCCTAGTTAAATCATAAATAAAATAAATAAAATTCAAAAAAAAAAAAAAAAAAAAAAAAAAAAAAAAAAAAAAAAAAAAAAAACTATAAAAAAAGGCCGAGAAAATGTTAATGGGAAACAATTTTTCGTTAATGAAAATTAAAGACGAAAGGACATTTAATAAAAAGTCCATCCATCGTTGGGCTTCGGTCATGATTCACATTGCACTATAAACCCTAAACTCCCATGTACAGACAAAGGGCTAAAGAGCGAAGCCTTAATCTGACTTTGATTAAAGTTTTAGTCAAGGCGTAAAAGAACGATGGTTCGTGCCAACGAGGTTTGCCATTATGCACTAAGTCCAACAACTAAGTCGATTTTTATTACCTTATTTAGCATTCTTAAGCTGTAAAAATCTTATCGGCTTTCACTTAAAATCACTTTTCATTCTGTCTTCCCGTATAATTCAAAATCAAGCCACACGAATGGCAAGGATAGTATATTTTTCTTCTTCTTTACTTATGTAAATTAAGCAATAATAGGTAAAAAATAACATAGAATATATTATAAGCTTATGGGCAGACGTAAGTTGAGAGATAAAATTAGTAGGAATGATTAATTAAGTAATAGCGACATTTTTCCAATTTGACAATTAATTTCAAAATATCAAATACGCCACTTTCAAGATTACTTCTTATCACGGCTTGGATTAATAATTTATTCGAGGGATTAAATTAGTCTATCGTTACTCCGCTAATATATCTAAAAATATTTTATAACAACTTCGTAATGAAGCATGGAGCTTTCATTTGAATAAAAATTCAATTTCTTGTCAATTTTAAAAATGATTCGTTTAATTGTTAAATTTTGTTAGTGCGTCGGCCGTGATTTTTCAAATTCTCATGATTAATCCACGATAATACGTTACAATTTCTTTAAAGCACTGATCGATCGACCATCTCTTCATACACTGATTACAATATACTACATTTAATATATTTTAATACTGTAAGGGACGGCATTTAAATAAATATCTCAAATTCTCAATACCGTATCTTACAATTCTTACTTAAGTATTAATAAAATATTACTTTCAATCGATTTTACTAATTAAATATGATTAGCTAGATGCGTCGAATTTGGTTTATTGAAAAGAAAAAAAATATAGGGATGAAATAATAACACAATAATATGAATTAAGAGAATATATTATGTATAAAATGACATTTCATAACAATAAACATATGTACCTCTAAAAATTTTTAGTTATCAATTCGCATTCAGCTTGGTCCCTAAACAATTTTAATTACAAATGATATTTATATACAATGATAATAATAATAATAATAATAATAATGGCACAACTATAACTTTTAATTTCAGTAAATCTTTGAAAATACTCATTTTTAATAAATTTACACGATTAAATGTAATTAATTAATTTTATTTTCTTTTTCAATACAATATATACCTTATGGCATTGGTAATTAATAAATTTATGGGACCCTCGATAATACTATGCTTTAATTGTATAGGATTGCTGTTGATATTAATAAATAATACTAACAATGGTTTCTTTGGCATGACAATGAAAGATAGTGGTATTTGTGTACTGCATTAAAGAGAATAAATAATAAACAAATTTACTAGAGGGACAGTTTAGCGTTTACGTCTGTTACCCTCGAATGTATAAAATTTTTACATCTAATAAAAAATTTATCATAATGAAATTGCACAGTCGTTAAAAGTATATGTATATACGATTCGAATGAGTATTAATGGGCATTATGCGAATTACGTCTCAATATGTCAACGTAGATCAATATGTGCTATTAATACATTTTTATGAGTTTCTATAAATAAATTAAACAATGCTTTAAATAACAATTGCATACGAGAATATAATTAGTAATAATATTCAGATAATCATCTTTTTTCCTGAAATATTGCAAAATTAACAATAGCACACGCACGGTATCATCCGTTTATAGAAATTGAACGTATACATTCATTTCCAATTTCGTATATTTATACATACATACATACATACATACATACATACATGCATACATACATGCATATATATATATATATATATATGCACTGTTAATAGTAAGCAATTGTTTAATATGCCAATAGAAGAAAGATTGTTGCTGCATGTAAAAAAGATTTCTGCAATTCGCCATAAAAGTTCAACAATTTTATTTATAGAAACTTGTAAATATACATTCGTCATAAACGATATTGCCTTGTCAATACAAGCATATGCATCTATAGTGGAAGAAAACAAACCCCTACTTTTGGATAACCCACTAAGCCTTTAGGAATTTTTACTAAAAACTCGTTAGTATCAAAAAGCTATGGTTCCTTAATGCCACAGAAATACGGTAAAAAGTATTAGCAAAATTGTGCGACTTGTTAAAAAATATACACATGTACGATAAAACCTTTGCTTATAAAATATATGACAAAAATATTTTTCATTCGTTTTGCTCTCTCTCTCTCTCTCTCTCTCTCTCTCTCTCTCTCTCTCTCTCCCGCTCTATCACTCTCATTACGTAACGCTTAATAATGAGATTTAACCATTAGACGAGTGTGGCTATGCGCATGTGGATGCGCGAGCTTATATACGTGTGTATTATCCAATGGTCTCGGCTATTTCAAAAGCGAAGGAAGACAGTAATAATTCTATAGGAATAACAGCTACAAGTATCTCAGATAATGAATTATGGCGGCGGGCAATGGCGAGGCTTGTCATGCCGTCGACGTCGAGTCCTGATTCGAACTCTCGGAGTCGCTCGGTGAGACGATGATCGAGGCCTTGGCAATCGTATGCGCCGCCCTCTTAGGTTTGGGGGGTGGCGTCGGGGGCTTTCCATGGACATCCATAAGGTCGATCGGCACGGGAAGTTTGCTCTTCGACCTGAATATCGCGGGTCTGCCGATACCGATGAGGCCTGCGCTCGAGCAGTAATTGAAGTTGCCACTCTCGTCCGGTAGATTGCAGTAGTCGACCTCGCGGGTCTTAAGGGGCAACGGGGGCGGCGGATCGTCCTCCGAGGCGGTGCTGTCGGTGGTGCCGATGCTGTCGCGATTGCCTTTGCCGAGGCTATGGCTGTCGAGACCGTTGCTCGCTGAGCGCAGGTAACTCTGGGACTGACCTGACCAGCGGTTACTTAGTCGGCGCTCCCTCTCAGCTTCCGACCTCAGTGGCCGCTTCGGCGTCAGCTGTAAGGGCGAAAGTCAGAAGCTCTTTAAGTTATTTGTGAGTCGTTATGCGCGAATTGTCATCGTGGCGCTCTGACATTTCTTTGGCTAATTTGAAATTCGGACTTAAAGTTTAACTTTTTAACTGTCGAAGCCCGGGCTTTTCTTTTTATTTGTCAATTCATTTAATTAATTTTTTCAATAATTCAATACGCTAAAGAACATTTCAAGAAATCAAGATAAAATTATATAATAAATGAAAGATTGATTTAAGAACGAATCCAACTGTTTTTCCATAACGAATTTTTTAACGCAACTTGAGTAGCACTTTGTGGCACTTTTGTAATCTATTGTAATCAATTGTAATACTTATGTTGAATTGAATATTAAACCAAATATTTTTTTTATACAAACTAATTATATAAGGTAATGATTAAGTAAGCAAGTAAGTAAGAATTGTGCTTTAATTTAAAGCTTAATAAACGTCGTCAAAATATATTTTGATCCATTGATTAATAAATTCGAAATGTTTGATGATATAATTAATGTATGGCTCGTTCGTTCGACTCAAATACTTTATAATTTTGTAAAATTGAAAAAATTTTGTATTTATAATTTATAGTTGACAATTGACAGCTTATTTTTGATAATAACCAGTGGCTTCTCTCTCATATCCTACGAATCAAATGCTTTATATATTTATAACTTTATAATTAATAAATTAACGAGCAATTTTATACATGCATTTTTATCCCATTAAATTAAAATTATTTCCCAATAACTTTAATTGAATAGATGAAATATTGTAAATAGAAGACAAAATCTTTAATTGCTTCGTTGCGCATAGTAACGATAGCTGTCGATTATAAAATAGCTTGCAGTTATTAGTGTACCGGATATTAATTAATCGATTAATAATTGGCTGATTGGCAGTGCGCAGCGACTGAAATAACTGTAAAAATATTTTAAACGACTTACTTCTTGTCGAAGTTCGAACACAGGTGTTGAGGGAAGACTTGGCGTTGAAGCAGAAATAAGTGGCGAAGTTTGGCATTGAATTGGTTCCGGCATTGTGTACCACTGACTCGTCGGTTGTTCCGTTTTGGAATTTGTCGTGGTTTCGTTTTTTCGAGAATTACGTCGCTTCGAGTCTTTTTTCTTATTTGTACCGGTGTTAGAATTACCGAGTGCCTTTTGTAACGACGTTGTCGATAAAATATGCGACCGTGAAGAATTATTATTCCTATAAGAATGATGATAATGTTATTTCCTAAGGCGTGATATTGCTTGAACATTGATTAAATCTCAATGTAAATTTCTTATAGCCCCCCCCCCCACTAAAATTATAATCAATTTTTTTTCCACTTTGTTTAACAAGCGATAATAATTGTTGATATATAATAATATTATGTTAATTGCACACGTTGCGCATAATATGTTTATATAGTCATAAACACAATTCTTTTTTTCACGTAGAAATTAGTTTTATCTAATTATGTCGATGTGCATTTAAGTTATATAATTGTACAATTACTGGAAATTGATTTTCACTTTGAATTCAAAATCCTTATGAAAATTATAGATAGATAGATATATATATATATATATATAACGAAACTTTGAATTATTCTAATATTTCATTATATAGATTTTTAAGCTTTATACCTATTCATAAATAAAGCTTGATTAATAATAAATGTAATTAATATTGTCGTAATTATAATTAGAAGGAGTAGCTTATTTAATTAAATGCTGCGTACAAGTAAAATAGAATATGATTGAATATTAAATGAATTAGTCAAATGGAAGACATGCGCAGAAAAAACATTTCATTGAAAGTAGAGGGAAAACTTACACCAGTCATCGGTTTTTGAACAAAACAGCTTGTGGACGAGATGTAACCTTACAAAGCTTAGATTTTGGCAATTTCAAACGCAACTTAAATGTAGAGAAATTGAATTGTAAGAGAACGTCGCTGATTATAAAGTAAGTATATACTGCGTTTACTCCTGTAACGCATCTTTAAAATGGTTCGACAAAAATAAAAAAAAAAACAATAAATAAAAAAAAAAAAAAAATAGAGAGAAAAAAAAATGGAAAATTTACATGATAGTTATAATTGCTGTAATTATGAATGAAATGTGCAAAAAGCTATTTTAGTCGTCATTGTTATTGGCACATTGGCTATGATCTTTTACCTGATCAACCCAATACTCGGGATACCCGAGATCGGGGAACTGTTGTTGAAACTGAAGGTTGCTAAAGATTTGAAAGCAGCAACTTGCGATCTCGTAAGTGAAGAAACTCTGGAGCGAGTGCCGCAACTAAATGAAAAAATTTCCAAAAACATTGTCGCGCGATTTATTAACCAGATATAATTGAAATTTCGATTCAAAATTGTTTTGCTCAATGAACCTTTCGCCTTTCGTTAATTCCCTTGATTATTGGATACAAACTTTTGTAACTTTGACCAAAACCTTAATTCAAGCATAAAACTAAATTAAAACATCAAACTAAACTAATATAATTATTACTTACTCATTACTGACGATGCTTGTCTCGGATAGGCGATTATTGTCTCCTTTTGGCGTGTGTCGCCTCATCGTTACAGACGGTGTTACCATTTCAATTTGCAAATCACAATTCTAAACAAGAGCATTAACAGAATTATTCGAGCTCGAAGTCCATCATATTATTTTATCATGTAACAGAGATTATATGAAATAGACGAAGTCTAATCGTAATATTTTGTAAAAAAAAAAAAAAAAAAAAAAAAAAAAATCTCACCCGACAAACGAATCATGCTGAGTATTTATTAATCTTAAATCAATTATCTTTCTCTCGGTGTGTGTACCGTGTAATATAGATATGTGCTTACCCTTTTTCCATACTTGGCCTCTACTTGTGTGCGCATAGTTACGTAACACTGCTCTAAATGTTGATGAAAAGGTGCAAGTTCCAATGACGCTCTGGATTTGTGCAATTGCACACCGACCCCTAGTAAAGGAATTTGTTCGGCTATTAAGTTTTCTAGCTTCTCAAGATCGATACTTTCATCGGCATGCGTTTCTTTATATTCGGCATTTAAAAATGCCTTCTCATAATTGTCAATGCCGCCCATCACAGCTGGATCAAGCACGCCATTTAATTTCATACTCAATGGATTCAAAGGAAGACTACTGTCAGCTCTAAAAATCATTTTAATCGATTATTTGTAATTATTGTTTGTATTGTCGTGAAAGTGTATCTACGTAGGCTAATTTAATGATTAAAGGAAAGCCATCATTACCTATAGGAAATTATTAAATCCCTCAATGTTGTGTTTGTAGCTTCCATCGTCTCGATTGCATTGCAAAGTGGACTTACTAAATACGTGTCGCTTGAAATGACGGGGAACCATCGGAGTATTCCTGGTAGGGGATGACTAGTAACTAACACGGTTCTTTCTAGCCATAAAGATGCAAATTCATTGCTAGCTTCCTTGTCCTTATCAGCATTTAATGAAACGACGTCTTTTCTCGGTGCAGGCCTCGAAAATCGAAACTTTTGAACATTGTTAACACGGTGGTATCTGGGATGTAAATAAATTTGACAATTAATATTAATAATTATAGGCAGGAGAATGATACGGATTTATTCATCGTCGTACCTTATAACTGGCTCGGCCGTAATAGGTTTGCCACTTAATCTATGCTTCTTCTCGTCCATTAATGGATCGACCTTGTTGATTTGCACATACTGTACATTGGACTCCAAGATCTTTTCATTAGGCGGGGACAATTTATTCATCTGTTCGGCATTAGGTAACTGATTTAGCGTTCTCGAGCAAAAGTCGCTCAATCTTTCGTACTCCTTTCCTCTATAAATAAACACTTTATTACGTAAAAATGGCGGATGACCGCGTCCATAATATGCCACGCGGAAGTATTCAGGCTCTGGTCTCAGTTGCTTTACTATTGAATCGTAAAACTTGGCCATTCGTCTAAGAAGTACGGAAAGCTGCAAGTACTCGTAAGTCTCGTCCTCGTATTGGGCTGATAGCTCCTTACAAACGGACACGGCCGATTCCCACATTTTCCCTTTGTCGAAATAATCGATTATGTCGTTGTATAGGCATTCTTTTAATTCACGATGAGTCTGGCAGTGAGGATATCTACTAGATTTTAGTAGCGGAGGCAATGATTGATCGCTCCAAGTGAGCAATCGGCTATGAAGCTGCAATGTGTAGGCAGCTTCTGTGTAATTATCACATTCCAAATGAAGCTCGCATAATTTATTAACATATCTGAAAAGAGAATTTATTTATGGAGAACGAACGAACGAACGAACGAACGAACGAACGAACGAACGAACGAACGGAATCTTGTGGATTGTATGGAATGCCTTATACGTGACATTGTAAGCGCGACATGATAAATTAATTTTCAAAAATAATTAATTTTAGTTAATCGTTGATTGGTTAATGGTAATGTTGTTCGAGGTAATGATCATAGATATTGTGGACCTACCTTATATACATCTCATTTCTATTGATTTCGGAATAGAATTCCAATAGGTTTACTGTACAAAGCATTCTGTGCTCTTGTGATTCCGTATGAATGATATCACGATACTGAAGTAAGTGATCCATTAGCTTTGCAACCGTCTCGACAAAACGCAGTCCTTGCTCGTGCATCGTAGCATGATTCTCGCAAAGTGGAGTCATTTCCTTCACCCACAGATCACGAAACTCCTCGTCTCCTTTGCCACCCTCGACCTAAATTGAACATCAGCTCGCTTTAATAATGAGCCGACGATTTAGTGGGGTAAAATGATGTGACTAATTACCAGAATGTCGAGCTTGGCGATCATTTCATTCTCAAATTCGTTGAAATTGGCTTTCGTATTGCCGGGATTCCTCTTGTCGCTGAAGCCCTCCACAAACTTGGAGCTATAAAATTCCGTCTGCATCATATCGAAGAATATTGGTATCGCGGCGTCCTTCCTAAGCTCGGTATCGGGTATGAGAGCCATCTCCAAGATTGCCCCAACCAACGCCGGCACGAACAGTATCTTCCGGCCTCCCAAGCTTATCCACATCTTGTGAATTTCAATGGCCGTCTCGCGACGCATGTCCTTGTACCGCTCGATTATACGCTTCCGTTTCGCCTGGGTGAACGTCTCCAATTGCAGCGCTGGCTGAGTGAGAAAGGCGATCGCGCAATGGAAGAAATTTGACCAGGCTTGCTGCTCGAAGTTCGCGTTGAAAAGCTCGCGAATCGTCGTGGAGAAGAAACGCAGGGCCTTGAGGATGACGCTGTTCTGCAGCATTATCATTTCGCACCAGTCGTTAGCGAAGACGCTTCTTGATACAAGATCTTTGAACACTAGTAGGATCTCCATGAGGAAGTCGAGAAGATCGAATTGCGTTCCAAAATGCTGAATGTAGATTTGATAGTGTTGTTGAGTCATTTGTCTGAAATTCAATTGAAGTGAATGTTGCCGTGTAATTGCATTAATTTTGTCGGCCTCCCCGTGCGTCCCGGATCTTCATTTTGTCAATGATAATCGTATTGGTAGTAAATGAAACGACAATGCGTTTTGTTATATTGAAAAACTAACGATAAGAGTGATGTACTAAAACTTTCTATTATAAAATTTCGTCTTTCTCTCGCAGTTTTCTCATCACTATCCATTATTATCCAATTTTATGACAATGTATAAAGCATAATGTGACGGTTATTAAAATTTTTATACGCGCGAGTATGCATCGGAATTATGCACTGTAAAATGTGTGTAAAAAGATTAAATAATTCTCACTACTACTGGCTAATGGTATATGGAAAGCTTCAATTTAATTACATTTCATTTTGAATTAGTTAACGATCACACGATATCCGTTATTTAGATTTTAATGATAAGCATGACAAGTGTCATGCTTATTTCAGACATGATTATTTCAGAAACGTCAAATTACTTTTATCGAGCATTTAGTAAACTTATACCGAGCCTATCATTATTCATAAATTTTGATAAAAGTGCTTCCGTTTGAGCCTCATAATTTATCAAAATTTCATTAATCATAAAATAATACGATAAACTTATTTTACGCTCTTATTTCTCAATTATTACACTTACTTTCTAAATCGATGAAAAAGTTTAATCAACGCCATTATAATTATAATATGTAAATATTAATACGGTAAGTGTCGAAGCACGAGCGTAACGAGAACAATTAGTTTATAAGGACAAACGCAGTCGCGCAAGCTCGCATGCTCGGCACAATACGCACACCAACCTGAAAATAGACAACATAACGGACACTAGATTTCCCACTAAAGGATTTTCTCTATCCATGGATATGACTGTTTGTATAATAGTCCTTAGAGCCGTGAGCATTATTTCCTTGATATCCGAGGCAGTTGAGCCAACATCCTTCCTGAATGTAAGGTCCAGCACGTCAGACAATATTTTCACGCACAGCTCGACCTACCGGAAGATTAATGCCACGTAATATTAATCTGCCATTAAAGACATCTCGATCATAAAGAATCTCATTAGTTATGCACAGCTCTGACTCATCTCTAAACGTCAGATGTAACGTATAAAAAAAAAATATATATCTATATAAAAGAGGCGCTGGCGCGTCTTTTTAAATGCACAAAATTACCTCTTCAGAGTAGCCACGGTGTTGGTTCAGTCGATGCCGATTTTCACCGAGCAGCCTGGCTACCTTCGCCACGCTCCTCCCAGGCGTACCCGATAGTCCCTTTATATCGCGCGCCATTAACCAAAACCATACCAAACACAAAAAATAAAACAACCCGAGGTTAGTGCAAACTCAGGAAAATAAAAACCATATCCAAATCATATAACATTTGCTATTTTATACATACATACATACATACATACATATATATATATATATATATATATATATATCTATGCGGGGAGTAAGGTAATAAGGAAGTTCTATTTTTCTGGTCTGTACGTGTTTTGCTAGGAGACTTTCTAAAGGGTTATCGAGGCGACTCTTTCTGCCGTCAACTAAACATATATTAAATTAAAATATACATAATAAATAATACAAATAAAATAAAACTATAATTACAATAACAACTACGGCGACAATAGTAATAATAAAAATAAAAATAATAATGGCAAAAACAACAATAACAACAACAACAACAACAACAGCAGCAGCAGCAGCAATAACAACAAAAACAACAACAACAATAATAATAAAATTTGTAAAAGTAGTCATAGTAGTCGTAGCAGTAGTAGCAGTAGTAGCAGTTGTGGTGGTGGTGGTGATGATAGTAGTAGTAGTAGTGTAGTAGCAGTAATGGTAGTAGTATTAATGGTAGTAGTAGCAATAGTGATAGCGGTAGTACCAGTAATAACTATGATAATGATAATAATAATAATAATAATAATAATAATAATAATAATAATAATAATAATAATAACAACAACAACAATAATAATAAATAACAACACTCATTGAGCTGACTATGATAATGCAACTCTATAATTTTTATGCTCTTATTATATGAAACGATTTTTTTCGAGTATTTAACCTTGCAATTTATTTCTTAAATTCATCTTAAATAATTTATAGTTTTCAAATCATCATTTTTTATCAACAAATCAATGAAATATTATCATCATACTGAATTTTTCATAAACATAAATAATAATAACAACTACAATAATAATAATAAAAAAATTAATGAGTATTTTTTTTTTGTAAGCCTAAGCACTCGTTGGTTCTTGCACTGAAAATAATCTTTGCAAATTTAAATACATTTCTTCACGATCTCTATTGTGAAGTTGGCATGTTATATTTGAGCTATTGATTTAGTCAACAATTATTTATTTAAGTTCATTTGTGAAACTTATTCTTTATTCATAATTTTATCATATTACTATTGACTGTTAATTATTTATCAATTAATGATATTTTTATTATTTAAATTATTAGATATTAAGGTATTTTTGTCTTTAATGTAATATTTGCTAATATGATAGTTTATGTGTAAAATGATCAAACAATAAATGAATTATGAATATTAAATGTAAACATTCGGAATAACTTTTTTTTAAATCGATCAATTTTATATTTAATTTTATTTGAAAATTTTATAGTTAATTCTGGTGAAAAACAAATTTAAAATTCTTTTGTAATCTATGATATTTATTAAACATTGAGCATCTTCTATATCAAAATTTAACATTATTATACCATATTAGAATACAAGATTAGATGTATAATATTTTTATGTATACTATTTAAATATGAATTTCAATTTACTGTTTAATAAAAATAATAAATATATGAGTTATCATGAGCTTATAATAAATTCACTTGCACGCGTTGGTATTATTCTGTATAATTGTATTGAAATTGAAAAAATATTGAAATTTAATCATTTTTTTTTCTTTCAATACATTAATATATTAAGAGAACAATTGTGAATAATTTAAATATTTTATAATACTTTCTGACCCCGTTAATGTATTTAACATAAACGTTTAAAGTATATTATCATCGAGATACTACCACTTATCATTTTCAGGAAGTATAAATATTATTTTGTACATTATAATACCTGCTTTATGACATTTCAAAAGACAATACAAAAACTTATTAAATTTATAATTTTAATTACTCTATTTACATATTAATATATATTTAAAAATTACTCTTTCAGAATATTTACGTGCTAGTTTTTTTAATAACGAATGTTATCAAATAAACATTGGACAATTCAATAATTTTGTTTCGTATAACATTTATGAAGACGTGTATCTGTATTCATTTTTGTCGGTTATAAAAGGTAAAGAAGTTGTTTCGAACATGCTTGAAAGATCAGTTTTTATTGTTATTAGAAGATACTAGGTCATACATAAAATATTGCATCAGGGATAGTATTTATTAGAGTATTTAAATTAATTACTCATTTAATAGTACTAACCGACATGCTTTATTAGTGATCGTTACCATGAACGAACGTGCTATTTGGTAGAATTTTGTTCGATTCTACAATTAGAATGACAGAACTGGAGCAATGAAAATATGTCGAAGAAATTTTTAAATGATATAAAAGATATTCTTTGCAAGGTTAAAACTATTGAAAATATTTTAGTGAAATGAATAAATACTACATGAATGCTAAATAAAAGCTCTACAGAAGGATTTGCACATATGTGGTGTGGCGATAAGACGTCAGGCTGCACGGCAAACAAAAAGCAAAGGCTACACTGATTCACCGGTAAAAATAAAATTATTACCTCACGGAACCATGAAAATTCGTTAGTATATAACATGATTGCATAGTTACTCAATTGTAGGCATAAAATTTGATTTACCTCTTCCTTCGCTTCGAGAAGATCTCGCACAAGGATAGTAATCCTTGGCAGTAAAATTTGCCTGCACTCCATATTCAAAAATAATCGACTGTGAACAATGTCATTCACCGTCATCATTTTTTGTTTAGTGAGCCTGCCGGAAGGAAGGGTGACCAACAAATCTATTAAAATCATACTCAGTTGTTTTCCGCTGTAAACTTTTAATAAATGTGGTATTGTAGATGGTAAATATTTTAAACAAGCTCCTTGAACTAAAAGCGTTCCATCCGTTTCATACTTCATGAGCTCGACAATGGATCTTAAGAGTTCGGTAAGAGTCTGTGAAAATTCTTCCTCGTCTTGATCCAATCTAAAGTAACATAAATATAAATATAAATAAAATTTAAAATAAAAGTTTCGTTATAAATATTACATTGTTTAATAACAAATTAGTTCATACTCTGTGAATAATAGCCTTGACTCTACGATAAATCTCATGCAATATTGCAGATTTTTCATAGTTTTTAATAATATGTCCTTTTCTTGACCATCGCTGACACTTGCGCTTTCAATACGTTTTTTCAAGACGGCTATTAATTTTTTGTAAGCCAGTGTTGCGGAAAAGCTTTCGGATATATACAAGTCCAAAACTGGTTGAAAATGCTGATACTTTCGATCTGACACCAAACCAATAATATAAAGAAGACATTCGAAAACCATATCATCATAATCGTCAATGTCAGTGTTACTCATCAATATACTAAATAATGCATCCAAGACATCCTAAAAAATTATTAATATTTACATGACAGTTTGATGCTACTTTTTTTTTTAATGCTTAATACATTTAATAAATACAAAAATAATGTAGGTACTTGTAAAAATTTCACTACTTCTTCACCATCCACTTTCATCAAAGCTGCTAACGACTCTTTTAAATCAGTTTGCGAGGAAGACCAATTTAATAAACCTAATAAATCTACGTTCTGTGTTAATTTTGTTGAGCAGACGTTTGTAGTTATTAAAAAATTATCCTTCGACGATAAGCTTAGTGGTCCCAAACTTGGCTTTTTCTCCAAGTTCAATTCATTCTGTAATAGGTTAAGAAGCAATTAATAGATAGAGATTTCATATATTCATATACAGAGAAGAGATAAAATTTCAGTGTATCTCTACTCTATATCTGACATAAAATATCTCTCACCAATTCTTCCCTCGTCGATGGCAGTCGCAAATAATTTGTTTCATTCTCCTCGTACTTTTTATTGTCAATTTTATAAACTAATAATTCATGTTGCGTGTCCTGTAATGTCGTACCGTTGCGCTGCATAAGTTTTACGTAACTAAGGGCAAATGGCTTTTCCGATCTATCTTTAGCCTCGTTTGAGCTTCGATGCTTGAAGGTAAATTTCAAATGTGCTTGCTTAAATTCTTCTATTGGAACAGCAATTTTGAACGTTTCGCACCATCTTGGCTTATCCTCGTGATAATAAATTACGCTACGATATTCGTCGATGCATTGCGCACCTCCACCAAGCTTTATGACTCCTGGTATCGATACACCATCCTCGTTACATACTTTTACAGTTACTTCAACATTTTTATCGGTTGATTTGGAACCCTTGCTAAATTCACCGCTTACTAAAGTTAAATATAAATCATTACGAACGTCGCCTGGCAAAATCACCTCTGGAAATCCCATTTTTCGAGCAATCGACACATTACCGAGAACTAAATGTGGATTCTCGTCTCTTACCTATTATTTAATGACAATAAATAAGTTGAAATAGGTGACGTTAAAGGGAAAAATGATAGGAATGACATTAATTATGTTTATCTGAAAAGCATACTTGTTTAATATCGCCTCTTAATAATTTTAAACTGCACCAAAGCCCTTGGCCGATATTGTTTCCTAAGGTGCTATTTTTTTGTAAGCTTACTTCTTTTTGTATGAGAAAACGTCGTAAAGTGCCATCCAAGCTCTCCTTCTCACAGCATCTGAAGCAAAAAAGGAAGGAAAACCAACAGACAGAGCTGAACAACGACAAGAATTATGAATTAATTTTTCATAAGCTTCAACTTACTGTAGAAATGGAATACAATATTCAACTTCTGGATCTCCTTCGAGCTTCCCATTGACAAAAACGGTAACATCCATAGCGGCGATGCCAAATGGTCTCCTCATGCTATCCTGGCTCTTTGATTTTTGATTATTCTGTACAATACTCGAGCGCCTATGATCAACTTCCTTGGCTTCCATACCACCGACCCTTATCGCGTAACAAACTAAATAAACCTTTTCTCTAGATAAGTCCCTGCTGCCAAGGTCCGTGAACAGAACTTTCAGATTGTGCAGCTGGTCAATGTCGGTCATGAGACCCTGCTTACTCCAAGAAAAGACATAATTTTCCGTTATAGCTCTCATTTCTTTACTATCGTACAATGTTAATAACAATTCCACGTCCTCCGCCATTTTACAAACGAAATTTCTAATATTAACAAAAAATATATATGAGTAAACTGGAGCGTGTGGCTTCACGTGCTTCTTCTTTGTGTCGATCGTTGCCTTTCTGATTCTTTCCGCCGCAGTCTCGTGTTGATAATACAATTGAACGGTACTGGTATTCTCCGGATTTAATATATTTCCCTCTTCGTCTCTTACCACCATGTCCAGTCCCAGCAATTGATTTCCAGTGTCAATTTTTGACGTCGCCAACTTCTTTATATCTTTCAATTCGTCAACTGTTAAAGTACCGCTTAAAATTTTGCTTCTGTACGACACAAGCTCCAGGATTTGCTGCTGCATGGTTCCAAAGAGCTTGGAATGCGTCTAGATTAAGTTAATACATAATCACAATGTACTCTCGCGTAAGCATCCATTTTAACGAATAAAGCAGAATTTAAGACGTATAGTGAGAGGGGCATAACGTGAAGTATATACATACTACATAGAGGTGCTTCCAGTAATATCCCCATTCTCTCAATATGCTCGTCATTTCGTTCATAAGGGCTTCCATATTCGTTCTCTTTTGACGTAGGCAGATGTAGGTTTTGGGAAAAATGCCATATTTTCCCTCGTACTTCTTGTAACCGTAATACCAATCGTCGCATTCTCGTATCATAACAACGGCGTCTCCAACGCTTAAGCCCAATTGGAACTCCCCTTCTTGAAAAAAATTGTCGATGGCTTAAAGATAAAAAAAAAAAAAATAAATAAAAAAAAGAGAGAAGAGAAAAAACAAAAGTCGATTATAATATTTCGAATGTAAACAAGGAATAATAATAAATAACAATAACAACAATAGCATCAACGATAACGACAACAATAACAACAACGACGACGACGACGACGACGACGACGACGACAACAATAACAACGACAACGACCAAAGTAGGCTTTATCTAGCGGAAATAATCAAGCAGATTTTTCTCGGTGTGAATCATTACTACTGTACCGAGAACTTGAGTCATTAACATTCTTCGACTACGAAATTACAAACTTTAACCATACGATCACTCAAGGATTACTTCCACCGACTAACCAACAATCATCGCCAAATTCAGTAGAATCACGCGATTATCGCGCCAACAAATACAACGGAATAATAATTCGTTGACTTATTAGAAGCAAAGAAAAAAAACAATCAAAAAAAAAAAAAAAAGCAAAAAAAAAATCAAAAACAAGAAAAAAGAGGGGGAAAAAAAAGAAAAAAGAAAAAAGACCGCGTAAACGATAACACGATAAGGCCTGCCAACGAGCGAGCAGATTCTAAATTACCAACGACCATCGCATCGGGAACGACATTCTGAAAAATATTGATAAATGTCTAGACCATACCAACGCCCATCTGATGTTCCTTTAATCTTCTCCATACCGTTGTCATCATTATAAGCAAATCGGTTGGCGCGCATATAAGCGCTTCTAGCGACGCTCGAGCGTAATATCGTTAAGGGTCGGTCCGCTGGGCGCGACGGCGACGACGCGGAGACGGATGACAAAGGGAGTCGCGACGACTCTACACTCTCAGCTGTGTCATTTACCACCCGACGTCCGCACGAAATCGTTGCTCTCCACAGCCGCAGCAGGGCACCGCACATGCCCCTGCATCACCGTCGCCGATCCTCCTCCTCCTCTTCCTCGCCTCGCCTCACCGCGGCCACGGCCTCACGGGATTATTCACGAGCTCGCGATTACGTTCGCACCGCAGCATTTAAAGCCAAGGATTAACACTAACTATAGGTGCGCCGACGGCATCCCATTACCAACTGCCGCCGAGCATCAATCGCGACGCGGACGGCGGCCACTGGACTGACTGGGGGGCGACAGCAGCCCGAACACCAAACTACGCTCTACCACCAATGCCGCCGAGTGCGACATCTCCCACACGCCTCGTCTGCACTTTGCAGTAACGCGCGGCGCCTCTCCTTATGCTTACGTACTCAACTCCAAATACAAAACTACGCGTCAGCATCACGCGACATAGCCGTAGAGATAACACAGCCGTGTGCGCTCTCTCTCTCTCTCTCTCTCTCTCTCTCTCTCTCCCGAGGAATTCGTCAATCGCAGGAGCTTGAGAAGTTGTCGCAGGGGCCGTGGTGGCCGAGGAATCCTCATTGGTTGGAATCGCGGAGCCCGGGAGCTTCTTCTGCGTTTCTTTGCATCGCATCAAGTCTATTCGAGTCTTGATCGCCCCGAGTGGAGATAAAGAAACGCGGCATTGGAGCGTCCGTCGGTTGACGCGGTTATCATGCAATTGAACGAGCCCACGTATAATGAGCTATGAAGAGGGAGAGAGAGAGAGAGAGAGAGAGAGAGGGCGGAGTAGGAGGAGGAGGAGGGCGGTGTGAAAAATCAGGGCAATAGGCTTCTTCCTTCCTCTCGCTCGGCAGCGGCGCTCAAAGCCCTCCATCGAGACGAATTTAAGTTCGCGCACATCGATCTCAACTTGCTTCGTTATTATTATTATTATTATTTTTTTTTTTTTGGTTTTTACCAAATGACGGTGCTTAAGAGAGAGAGAGAGAGAGAGAGAGAGAGAGAGAGAGAGTGAGTGAGTGAGTGAGAGGGGGAGGGAGGGAGGGGGGACTAGCTTACTTGCCATTCCAAGTGCTGCCTTGGCGTTAAGAACCTGTCATATTTAATTATCGACATTACTCATCGACCTGAATGCCGGGGACGTTTTAAAATTACGTCTATGAAGCGACAACTTAGGAAGATGTGTACAGTCGTAAGCTCGAAAAGGCAATAAATGGCATATATAAATCGGATAATAGTAAAGTCACTGGTTGTTGCACGATCCTGGAGTTGGCCGTTTTTTTTTTTAATCTTGCTGTCGACTATAATTATCAGCACGAGGCAAATTAATTTCTTCGTTAACAAAATTCATTCGTGTTGGAGAGGAAGCTCGATGTGGGCGAGCATTTATCTTTTTTTTTTTGGAATTTTTTTTTTTTTTTTTTTTTTTTTTTTAATAAAATAAAATAAATAAAATAAATAAAATAAAAATATACTAGCTTATTCTTTATGAGATTAAGGATCTGAAGGAAGAAAAATATAATAATACGTTTGTCTGCTTTAGTTTAAAGTAGATAGGCGGGATGATGTCGCTTATTAAATAATAGTTACATAAATTTAAAAAAAAAGATTGTTTTATTGTACAAGAAACAATGTAGAGATTATACAATTTTGTATGAATGGAATTAATGTTTTCTGATTTTTCTGAAAACTAAATTACATATAGAATATGTGTACGTGCGTACACGTATTTTAATAAGTAAAATTTTCATTATATATATATATATATATATATATATATATATATATATATATATATATATATATATATATATATATACACATATGTATATAAAAATGGTATTGCTAATTTTAACGATTTTCTATTTCTTAATCGCATTACACTATCGTATTTTTTTTTTTTTTATGTCCTTGTCGCTTTCCAATCGGCTGAAAATTCAAAGGCGAATCTTATAGTAATAACTGTAAACTCAACTGGATCCACCTTGAATTTTGCAGTTTAAATACTTAGTGTTCAATTCTTATACTTCTTGAATGCAATCATCCCATATTACACTAGTAAAAACGCTCTTTTTACATAAAATGATCAATAGATTAAAAAACAAAATACGCTGTACATTTTTCCAGGGCGGTGGAGCTCTGAAAAAACTTCTGAACACTATAGCACTAGTCTTAGAAACTTTAAAAAATCTTGTAAGACGACTTTTCAATTATTACAATTACGATTTATTACAATAAAATAATCATCCCTATTCACAGATTTGTTAAAGCCTCAAAGAGAAGTTTTGTATGTTCAAAAGATCATGCCGTTGTAATCTCAACTGACGGAGATCCTAAAATATCACATGAAAAACTACACCGAATGAATAGACTCACGTAACTGGTTTTAGCGAAAAAGAGAGCTTCGGTCTAGAGTTGTTTTTGCCAAGGATTTTTTTCTGTTCTTCCTTGACGCGTTTTTCGTGCTCTTTTCGCATTTTCTGTCTTTCTTCCTCCATTAATCGTTGCTCTTCTACCATTGCAAGTCTCTCTTCAGCCTGAGAATAAGAAAATAACCAAACGATTAATTTCGTATATGACTAATGAAATTTAGTTTGCCGAAAGTATTTTCTGCATTAATTTTGCATTTATTATGAAACAAAATATTCGAGGTATCAATTTTATGTTACTTTATCACTGCCTTGCGATTCGTTGGTAAAATAATATTTTGTGTATGTGTGCGTGCGTGTGTGCGCGTGAATTATTTAAAACACCAAATAAAAAATTCATATTCAGCTTTTTTCAATTAATTTCAATTCATATTCATACCAAATACTTTCCTACTTTTAAAGAATGTGTACCTGACACGTTGTTCATAAAATAATTAAAAAAGCAAAATCGAACGAATAACTATTTAACGAATTATTTCATTGATCGCTGTAATGAATTTGGCAAAAGTAGTGAAATTCAATTTGCATATTTTTCATGAAATCTCTATAGGAAAGTCTACGACAAAAATCGTTTGCTCACCAATTTCTTTTGTGCTTCTTCAATCTTTTTGTTGTTTTCCTCCATGATCCTCTCAAGTTCCTCACGTTTCTTCC